AAAGAATGGCAGAGAAGGGAAGCAGAACACAGCTGTACATTTCAGAATCCCTCCATATTCATTTGCCAGACAAAACCAATACTCAAAAAGACAGCTAAGATTAAGATGCAATAGGACCGCACTGAATCCATGCCTCTGAGCAGCTAGGGTCTCTTTTTAACAATGCATTCAAGCAACAGATACCGAGATTTACCTTCAAAATGCAGGCCATGTTCTTTTTCTATCCTTCCTAGCACAAAGCAGAAGGATTCTACTTTGTGAATAACAACTCCAGTGTCAGGAAAAAGGCTGGCAGAGCTGCAGAACTGCTAAATTCTACATTCCTGTAGATCCAAATAAGGGTACCACAATTCTAAGCTCCGTTAGTCATATTAGTCTTTTCATGCCCTGTTTGTTCCACCCATCAGCTTCTGCCACTGGCTGGGAGCCAGCACAGTACCTCCCCTTAGTCACATGACTGAGTTTGATTCATGGCTCCAGCATGTATTTTTTTAAGCTCTTGGACGCTATCAGACAATATACACAAATGGCAATTCTCGGTATGCAGATGTTTGTGACATTCAAAAAGCAAGCTGCTCACTTCAAATAAATCCCCTCCTCCCCCCCAAAAAAACTCTCCACAGATATTTCTCCCTCAGTTATAATCAGAAAAAGTTCAAAGTATATTTTTATTATTGGTGATGTAAAAACTATTAGATTTCTTGTGAGTGTTGGATACTATGCGCATCCCTTTTAGCACAGGAATTTGCCCTTGTTTGAAATATTTAAATTGCCTATAAGTAGTGAGCCACTCACCATGAATAACAAACTCATGTAACCCCTAAGAAACCGTAGAATTGTGCTGTGCAAGTCATTTTGGGTAAGGAATGAGAAATGGTTTTCACTTGTGCTAGGCTAATGACACCTCCTAACTCTTTCAGGCATTTATATGAGCTTTCTTGACCTGTGAAGAAATTACCTTGATGCTATTACTGAAGCCATCTTCCTCCACCTGGACTTAGACTATAACTTTCCTACCACTTACTACAATAAAAAAACCAAAATCAAGCTCTTCTCCTGCATACCTGGACCTGTATAATACATCACCTTTGCCATCTCTTCCCCAGCTGCCTCCTCTCAGCCTACCCCCTAATATTTTCACTTTCCTATACCTCTTGCTCACCTTTGTGCCCCCCATCTTGTTTGCCTTATACAAGAACAGTATCTATGCTCTTGTCCACCAACCAGACTAATTCGTGTGTGGTAAGGGAGGGGCAAGTTCCATCTGACCAATTGTCACAAACCCTGGTGGTGGCTCTGAGGGCGCCCTTCAGGGCACACCTCTCTCCACTGGTCTACTGCTTGTCCATTGAGAACAAACTAAGATCTGCTCAGGAGATAACCTTTGACCTCAGTAAACTTTATTTTTACCTGTCTCAGTTCAGGTCTTGCAGAGGAAGCTTTGCCAGGTAAAGAGGCATGCCCCTACAACTTGTATAAAATTACAGACCCTCTCTTCCACTAAAAGAAGTTATCAATGGTTCTGAAAATCATCCCTACCACGGGCAATCAAGAAGGTAAATAAAACAGCAACAAGATTTATTACCCAAACAAGATAATTCACAGTATACTTTGAAAAGACAGTGTACTTTGAAAAATAATCATAAAAAAATTAAAGTAAAATCTTACCCCACATTTCTTACTAAAATGTAATACTCCCAGCTTCTCCCAACTAGGGGACTAGATCACCCAAAGCCTAGGGATCATTAGAAAACCTATTACTGAGGCACCCTCTATATACTATTACCTTATTTACCTATCTCTATATTTCTGTTTCTAATTTTCAAGGGCATATGTAAAGGGGTAGGTCATTGGTGACCTACTCCCCCAAGATAGGCATCTGTCTGTCAGGCCAGGTGATATTCCCCATTTACAGTTACATTTAAGACCTATAGAAATGCCTACATCCTCCCAGACAGATAGGTCAATAATCTAATATCCTTGGCTATCCATTACTCAAGATAGATATAAAAAAGAGCTCTCTTATTCTATTCACAGGTGAAAAAAATTAATCCCTGATGAGATTCCTTCCAGATGCCCATCTCCTGAGATTGGATTCCCTTTGCTGAGGCCTTTTCCTTGGAATTTGAACCACAGCTGTTTGTGGATGGGCACACGTGTACACTGTCTCTTCCGGACTAATTATGTGCAGTAGCTTCAGTGTACATGTTTAGAGAGTGGGATCTTCTCCAAAGTGTGAATAGCTATGGCTGGTCTGGGGATATTCCTGACACTTCAATAGCATTCCTACTATTAACTATTTCTAGTCATACTAGGATACATGGAGAACCCCAAATCAGCCCCGCTTTTGGGGTGAGTTGGAGCCACTCAACTAATCTCTTTTAGAAGCACAATAAATTAACCTGCAAGAAGCTCCACTTAATTCCAAGGTATCTTAACGCTTTGCTGCAGTCTGCAGTGTTTGACATACTCTTGGTGAGAGCAGGTGAGTGCACAAACTTAGGTAACCTCCTTGGTAGCTTTGTTCATTACTCCCAACACCATGGAGAGCACAAGATTCTGCACAGCACGAGAACTGTAACACTTTCATTTGCTATTCAGTGGCACAAGGGAACTGCACTGATTGTCCAACAGGCACGATAGCTTGGCCAATCTCACCATAGGCTAAAGCTAACATTTTTTACTGCTCATGAATAAACCTCCCAAATAAAATCTACCAACTTGCCAAAAAGAAGGAATTTTTCCTGAGGACTTCAAGATCTATTTTCATTAGGGAATCTTCTAAGATACCTTTGAGGTAACAACTCAGAGGGCATCCGTAAAAATGTCTTTTTACCATTAGGGAAGGTAATTACAGTATTAGTTGAACATTTTTATTCCCTGGCACAAAGAGCAGCTATATTCATCATGCACTGCCATGAAATACCATTAATCTTTCCCACAAACTCCACCCTGCTAACCACACTGCTAGAGCTCATAGTGGAACACACCCAACAGAAGAATTCATTGTTTTTGAGAATGGGGTCTCTTAAGCTCTCCAGGAAGCCAGGCTTTATTCCCCAGACCACACTTCCACTGGCATTTTTAAAAGGTGGCTCTGAACTTCCTTCCCTTCTTGCATCATGAAGGATGAGAGCTGGTAGCCAGCCTCAGCAGTTTATCTCCCCAAGTCTTCCAGACTGTTTACTACTCATTCCTGGCTCCCTAACTGCTTGGCCCTGTGGAACAGAGATGCAGGTCTGGATGGATTTCCCAGCAGGGCAGATGATAAACCAAAAGCACTGGAAACCTCCAGCTGCAGCAAAATGGCCAATTCTGTAGTAGAAATACTGAATTCCATGGCATCTGAGAAAAAATGTGAAAAATTCTGCAACGGTTACATTGTAGACTTCAAAGGGCTCTGCCTAGGGAGAACCAGGAACTCCAAAGTTACAGCCCAAACTTTAGCTGCTCTACAAAAGCCTAATCCTTGATCTTAAATAAAAAGAAGAAAAAACCCCCCAAACAAACAGACTGTGGGGTTAGAAAGTTGTCAGTTTCTTCTTGGAGGGAACAAACTGCCATGGTCCATCTCCCAAAGAGGCAGACCCCGTGGGAGCAGTTGAAGCAGATGGGGGAGATTCTCTAATGTCCAGTGAACAATGGGAAAAACAAGCATGTCCATACCCATCTTCTTTTAAGATCTGTTTTCTCTGAAACACATTGGTCATAAATACTTTCCTTTAGGAAGACTCGTCACTAAATATCACTGTCATGATGACCAGAAGCAACAGAACAGAGGCCGGCTTAGATAATCACAGATAGCACCTCGGGAGTCTGGTCTTTTCAAAATTCAAAGCAGGACACCTCCCACCCCACTCCACCCTCCCATACTGGGTCCTGCCCATTGGGCTGTGGAGGCCCTGGGAGAAGGGCAGCAGGGCAAGGAGCCCCAAGCCCACAGTCCTCATGGGGGCATGTACTACAGTGGCAAGGAGCCAGCCCCCCTGCCAGGGCTGCACACAGCAGCAGGGAGCCAGCCCCCCCAACCCCAACTGCTGCCCCTCCAGATTAGCCACCCATGACTCCATCCCACTCCTTGGCTGGGCCCTGTGGCTGCACATTCCTGCCCTGGGCTCTATGCACTGCCCCAGCTGCCAAGCCTGCCTCACTGTGGGGACCTCAATCTGCCCCCCTGCTCCACTATGGTTCCCCCCTGCATAAGCTTACCTGCAGGAAGCTGGGGGAGCTGCTCTCCATCATTGCCTGGCTGTATTTTTGGCCATGTGCACATGCACTCCATATCCCCCAGCCCCAAGCAGCTCAAATTCTGCCAGCCTGCAAGGGGAAACCCATGGTTTCACATGTTTTTCTCCTTCAAAGGAGAAAATCCACCTTTTTCCATGGTGAACAGAAAACCTGGATCCCTGCACATGATACTGCTATGGTTTGAAGGGAATCCGGGACAAATGCTGTCTCAGTCATTCAGCCCAGGGCCAGGACTTGATGCTTATGTTTCCAGACTGGCCTACCCAATTAGGGATGGGTGATGATCACCCTAGTCTGGTCCAAGGCCCAACAGAATAGTAGAATTTTACCTGATTAAGTGTGATAGCTCGAAGCCCAGCACCTGAGTAGCGGTTCATACGTAGTTAGAATTGCATTTAACCTAAAAATTGATAGGCTGCACTATGAATACCTTCATTCCTATTCTAGAGATGTTTCCACATTTCTAGATGCGGAAATGAGGCATGGAAGTTAAGTGATTTGACCTGGTCACATAGAAGAAAGAACAGAGCCGAAAGCTTCTGGGTCAGTGTCAATGAGCTGAAGAAATTCAGTAACCCTCCTAAATTACAGTAAAAAAACCAAAAAATTTTAAGCACAGCTTTTCATGAAACTTATGGAGAGTTTCAGGAAGAACTTCCCTCAAATTTCACATCCCCTTAAAATCAACTTTGGCTTCAATTCAGCCTGCAGTTACAAATCAGTACTGGCTAATGCAAAATGTCATTCCTTTCTGCAAGCTTTCCGTTTGAAAAGAAGTAGATCCCTACTTTTGATTTTTGATCCATGTGAAAGGAACTTTTTGGTGTGCTTGTAGAGTCTGAGTCATTGGAAAAGGCCACACCGACTAAGACACCATTTCCAGTCCTGGTAACACAGATCTTATATGTTTATCCAACTCTGACCCTGACTCACAAGTAGGTATAACATTGACAATACTGGGCTTGTTTTAACAGCAACCACCCCAGAAAGCAGGCCTTCCAGGATGATTCTGTCAAAACAAATCAACCAACCAGACATGAGTCTGTTCAGAATGGAATTTGGAAAGATTTGCATAGCTCTAGCCAATGACTAATTCCCCCATGCTTCTCTCTCATTGCCGGTACACAGTTGAACTCTACCATGAAT